TGATGTTAACACCTGACAAGTGGTCGCCAGTAGGCTTGGTCTTGTCATAAACGCCAAGGTGTTCGAGGATCTTGACAATTGCCAAAGGTGTGCAAGGCAGCACGCACTTTTGCGTCTTCTCGTCGTCTACGTAGCGGATGTTACGGTACAAGTTGCCACGGTAGAATTGGCACAGTCTTTGCACGTCCTTCTTAATGCTGATGCTGTCGCGCAAAAAATCGTCCATGGTGCCACCGAAGAAGCTCGGGAAGGCGCCGAAGCACGGGTAGTACACGAGAATACCGTGCACACCCGAGTCTTTGTTGGCCTTCTCCAAAGCCTCCAGCAGCTCGTCCTTGGGCACTTCGCGCAGCTCGTAGCGGATGCCGTCGCGTGCACAGGCCTTGCCCGTCCCTCGGCGTACTTCTTGGCGGCCGGGTCGCCGTGAGCCAGCAAACCCACGAGCTTGGGACCCACGCCACCCATGTCCTGCTCAATGTACTGGCGCACGGCCAAGCTGAAGGGCTCGGCGATGGTCGCAGCGTTCATTTTCGCACCGGCGGAGTCGGTCATCTTGATGTTTGTGGCAGACGTCGGTTTGACGGATGGCTGGCTGACCATTAAACGAAAACCGTTTGGTAAAGAGCTCGATTTTTAAACGCTTTCGAAAAAAGGCCTCAATTAATATTTGATCATATTAGAAAGCCAAAAAAATTAAGAGTCGTTGTTTTTTCAAAAAGAAACGCTTTATTTAACACCTTTGGAATTCTTCTTTTTTTTTTTATCGCAATGATTTGATAAAATGTCATTGTAAAAAGTGTTTCGAAATCAAAGTGCTTTTAGAAAAACAGAAAGCTTTTTTCTCAGGGTGGCTCTTAGCCACTGCCACGTGTGCCATGCCATGGCACTAGAGATTGAGCCATGGCATGGCGTGGTTACGAATAGACCTGCCACTGTGCCATCATGAAAACAATTTTTAAAATATACATAAATGCAATTAAAAGTAGCATGGCACATGGCAATTGCCCCTTGCCATGACACTTGCGAATGTCCGTGGCACTTCCTGTCATTTTATTTACTTTAAACTCTAGCCCTAGCAAGCGCTCATCCAATCGGATCACAGCTTTTGTGCCATGGCGTGGTTAAGAGCGACCCTCAGTTAAGCGAGCACTTTTCAACGTCAGACTTAAAAAAAACATCAAAGCTCCTATTGCTTTTTTTTTAAGATGCCGTTTTCGAAAGCGCTTTTTTGTAGAGTACTTAAATTAGCTCTTCAAAAAGAGCACAAACAACTTTTTTTGAGGTGTTAACAGGATCCAAGCAGCGACATTTTTAAAGAAATTATTAAATTTAAAGGCAGTGATGTTAAGCGGGCACTTCGGTGTTTAAGGTTGGAGTTGATTCAGACTCCTTGGCGCTGAGTGGTTACGTTCTTCGGGGCAGTGAAAGCCCTAGCACTTTCGCCGCCCGCGAGCTATTAATAAGCCAAATTAGTGGCGGGGCAGCGAATCGAGCGTCTTGTTTTTGCTGACTGGGCTTATGTCTCCAGCCCATTCCTTCAATTAAACATAATTTTGACGTTAGTCCAGCCGATTTGTCAGTGGTGCAGTTTATCGTACCGGAACGATGGGACTGAGGTCGGTCTCCCAGCTAACAACGCTGTGTACAGCGGGGACCATAAAGCCGAACACAAGCACGAATGCACTCGTGATGTGGCCTATCACGGCATCCCCGAGCTCCATAGGTGTGTGTGGTTTGTACAGCATTCTCTTGAAGTAGTGTTCCTCTCTTCGGAGTCTCGTTGTGCTCTGGGCGGGAAATTGGTAACTGAGTCTGAAGACCGCAGCTTTGTGAATTAGTACACGTCGACCTTCTGGATCGCGGCGTTCTTTTGCGTCCCGTAACATAGAAACTGCATTGCGGGACGCTCGACTGTGTCTCAGCTACGGACATCAACTTCAGCTTACGTGGAAAACTGTAAAGTCACTTTTGAACTTTAAGCAAATGCGTCTCTCCAGACGCATCGTTTTCTCGTCGTCACGACAGAAGTGTCGTGTACGGGGTAAGAATACCTGGTGGTGGTGTGTACACTGTATATATAGCGTGTCGTGTATCGCCATAGAGTAGATCTAATGCGACACAATGTTTCTCCTTGTTATCGACGAGATGCGTCCGAATTTTCATAATTGAAGTTGTCGCTTTTGTAATTATTAGCGCTATATTCTACAACATAAACATGAGATAAAAGGTGAAAAGCGTTGACGAAACAGAATGCAATAAACTTGATCGCGGATTGCCACCATTCGCGGGACCACGGAAGGGCAACATGCTGCACACGTCACTGTGTCAGGCGTTTCGTCGTCGGCAACGCCTACTGTATCGGAGATAGCTCCAGGACCGGTCAGTTGACGGCGATTGACTTTTTAGCCTGGATCGCTCGACCTAAAGAGCCTTTATGAAAAAGCGAGAGTCATACGACATACTTCCCGAGGTGTACCAGTTGGCACGACTCCGACGTGGCACTTGTTTCAACGCGCTTCAAAATGGTCGCCGTCGTCACCTGTTCGCTTCGCGTCCGACGACACGATGGCCCACCGAGACGGCACTACCAACGCAAAAAACGAATTCCCATATTTTGTTGAAGAAGGTTTTTTTTTAAGCATCGCAGCAACAGTCACAACTTAAAGCGAGTTGGTCCGGTCCACGACCGTGCCGATCAGCGGATCGACTACCGCATCAAAAATTCGGACAATCAGAAACATAAGTCCGGCTGCAGCCGACGAAATGC